ATAACTATTTCAAACCTCCTTAGGACCCCCAAATCCCAAACCTTTTCATCACACCTCACTATTACTAGATGCTCTTGCTCCATGAATTATAGATACAGCCGAAGTCATCAGTTGAAACTCCCCTATCCTCCTGACACCAAGATATACAAGATCCTCCATAGATACACAGCCTATCCACCTCCTCCCTTAAAGTGCTAGATATGCTGTTTTTCTTCTAGTCATTGGAGAGACCCTTCACCTCAATTAAGAACGCTTACCTTCTGGGGCTCAGGACCATAGTCTTGGGGGACATTGAGGTCAATTGGCATAACACAGGCCACAAAGTGTTCCACATCCTACTTTGGTGAGTAGCGACTGGGGTCTTAAAAGCTGTGAGTGGCCATCTAAGGTGCAACTATTGGTATCTCCCCATCTACAGCAAAGGAGAGTGAAGAGAATCATAGTGCAAGGAAACAATTAGTCCAAAGGACTAATGGACCACAAAAACCCCAGCCTCTATAACCCTGAGACCAGAAGAGTTAGATGGTACCCAGCTACCATTGCTCTGAAAAGAATCACAATTGGAGGTCCCAGATAGAGAAGGAGAGAAATGTGGAACAAAACTCAAAATCATAAACAAAACCAGGCTTACTGGTCTGACAGAGACTGGTAAAACTCCTGAGGCTATGGCCCTTAGAAACTCTTCAAGCCTGGAACTGAACTCACCCCTGTGGCTCAACTTTCAGCCAAACAATAGACAGGCGTATGAGGTGAACAATAACACCAGGGAGGTACACATGCCTGAGAACAATCAACCGTATGAGATCAAAAGGGCAGCATTTGAACTGCGAATGGAAACAGTAAACTCAGGGTGGAAATGGGAAGATGGCTGTTATATTGTGGGGATTGCAATCAATGTCACAAAACAAAATGTGCATGAATTGTTGAATGGAAAAACCAATTTGCTCTGTAAACTTTTACCCAAATCACAATAAAAAGTTATTAAATAAATAACACACAGGCTCCATGAGGGCAACAATTCTTTAAAAAAAAAAAAAATGCCTTCCCTCTGCCTGTCTCAGGATCTGCTTTCTGTATATTCAACTCCCTACTAAGGCTTTTTGGAGGGTCAGCTAGAAAGGGGAAGACCCTCCACAAGATGGATGACATAGTGGCTGCAACGATGGGCTTGATCAAGTACAGCAGTGATTATGAGGATGGGGTCAACCGGGCAGTGTTTCATTCTGTTGTACACAGGGTTGTTGTGAGTTGAAACCAACTTGACGGCACCTAAACACCACCAACAACTACGGTTTGTTCATTTACTTCTAAACATGCTCAAGCTTTCCTCATTAAAAATAAAATAAAAACGACTCAATCCTTTCTTCCACATGCTACTATCTCTCTCTCCTACCCTTCTCAGCCAAAATTCTCAAAGGAGTTGTCCATACTTCTATCTTCACATTTTTTCTGTTATGGGCTGAGTGTGTCCCCTAAAAGGATGAAAGTCTTAACCCCTAGTACCTGGGAATGTGATCTTGTTTGGAAATATGGTTTCTGCAGATGTAGTTAGCTCAGTCAGCATCAGTTTACGTTAGAGGAGGGCGGGCTACATAATCCAGTATGACTGATGTCCTTATAAAAAGAGAGGGGACACAAACATGCAGAAGGAAGACAACCATGTGAAAACGGAGGCAGAGATTGGAGTGATGCTTCCACAAGCCAAGGAATGCCTGGGACCATGAGAAACTAGAAGAGGCAAGGAAGGATTGTCCCCTGGAACCTTCAGAGAGAAGGCTCCAGAACTGTGAGGGAATTTCTATTGCTACCCAGTTTGTGGTACTTTGCTATGGCAGTCGGAAGAAACCCATACATTCACTGCTCACTTAGTCTCAACCCACTCCTACATCTGCCTTCCAGGCCACCACTCTCCAGAAACAGCTCTTTCTAAAGTCACCAACAACCTCCACATTGCTAAACACAATAAACACTTTTCACTCTTCACCTTGCTTGGCTTCTCAGCAGCATTTGAAGGTCTTGAATTCTCCCTTCATCATGAAACACTCTCTTCCCTTTTGTGATACAACATGCTCCTGGTTTTCCTCTTGCCCCTCTGGCTGCTTCTCCATCCTCTTTGCAGGTTCCCTCTCATCTATAAAGGCTTTAAGTTTTAGAGGACCTCAAGGCTCCATCCTAGACCTTCTCCTCTGGTCACTCTGTACTTTTTCCCTCACCACTGTCACCTATCCCAGGCTTTAGTCCCCACGTCTATGCATATGGCTCATGAACGTCCATCTCAAGCCAGTTCTGTTCTTTGCCTGTGTGTCAGTGATCTTTCAACTGCAACATGCCCAAAACCAAAGCCATGGCTTTCTTGTCTGCATTGGTTCTCTGGCTCATACATGGGCCATCATCCGTCCAGTTGTGTAAGTAGAAAAAAAGGCTTCAACCTCGACACATCCCTCTCCCTTCCTTCTCACATCGTCCTTATGGCTCTAGAATCCTTTCATCCCTGTATTCCAGTGGTCATAACCTCTCATCTCCACTACTCCAACTATCTCCTAATTGCTTCCCTCCACACTAGTCCCCTGGAATCTTCTACACTGTGGCAAAAGAAACTTCCAAATACTAATTCTATCATGACATTTCTTCTGTAAAAATTCCCACTTGATTTAGAGGTAATATCAAAAAGCCTTAGGAGCTCTGGTGGCAGAATGTGTAAGGCACTTGACTGCTAACCAGAAGGCTGGCAGTTCAAACCCACTAGCCACTCCTCTGAAGACTAGGCAATCTACTTCTGTAGAGATACTGCCTCAGAAACCCAAGGGGGTCACTATGAGTTGGAATTGACTCACTCAATGGCAGTGAGTTTGTTTTTTCGGTTTTGGCCTCTTCTTTCTCTCCAAGCTCACCATGTGTTGTGATCCTCCTCACTACCCCAGTCCCAGGCACCTCAGCCTTCTTTCTGTATTTCACTGTCATCAAGTTCCCTCCTGTAATAAGCCTTTTCTCATGCTGTTCTCTCTGCCCTTCCTTCTGTTATCTCCCTAGTTCACTTCTTCATACTCCTTTGCTTTAGGCCTCAAAGCAAGTATCATAACCCAAGGCTCCACACAGAGCCAAAGCCTGCATGCACTTCTTCCTGTTATTTATACTTGTCAAGCTTGCATATTTGCATTTGGTTTTGTAGCTATGTCATTGACAACTACCTCTCCCACTTGATTATAAGCTCAGCAAGGGTGAGGACGGGTCAGATTTTGTCTGCCATTGCATTTTCAGCATCTAGCACAGTGCCTGCCTCCAGAGCATCCTGGGATAAGGAACCCTACATGCTGCTGGAGAGAGTGGATTCTGTGGTCAGACTATCTATGTTCAGATATTCCTTTGGCCACTTGCTGACTTGTGATCTTGAGCGAGTCACTTAACTTTTTTGTTGCTCATTTTCCCTTTTTGCTCAATGGGAATGGACTGCCGGTGTTCCTGCTATCACGGAGGAGTCGTGGGGACTAAATGAGCTGATAGGAGGGAAGTGCTTATAAGGGTCCCAGCTACAAAGAAATTTCTCAATAAGTGTTGGCTGCGATAATGATTATGACACACTGAGTAAATAAGAAAACGAATCACCGGTGGATTGGCCTGAAGGCAGAACACCTGTAAGTTTCTTTGTTGTTGTTTTCCTGGACTGAAATCTCTATAGGAGCAGAGTGCCAGGCCTTTTCTCCTTTGGAGCCACTGGGTGGGTTTGAACCACCAACCTTTCGGTTAGTAGCCAAGCACTTAACCTTTGTACCACTGGGGTTTTTTTCCTAGTCTGAGGCACCTTAATTTTACCTCCCACCAGAAAGAAAATTCACAGACCACACTGGCAAACCCAGACTAGAATTAGACAATATCATCTTATTAATTCAACTGCCTTTGCTCTTCCTGTACCCACGAGCTCTATGAGTACGTTTTAACTTCTATTTCATAAGCATATTTCATATTGTTACATGGAAATCTGAGAACTGAAGAAACTTCACAAAACAATTGGCAACCCTTTTGTGCTGTGAAAGATCTAAGGAGAGTGGAAGCATCCACTTGTCATTGATTAGAAAATTGAGGCTGACAAAGTTCCAGCCTCAGGCTCCTGTGCCAACACCAGGGTCACCGGAAGTGGTCAGGTTTACTAAATTATTTGTCTATAATACAAAGCTCCATGTATTTCCTAGCATATACCATAGATGAAATACTTTTAAGTAAAATAATTTTGTTGACAACTTCTATCTTATGATCATCTACTTCCACTTTGGTAAGGAGCCCTGGTGGTGCGGTGGTTAAAGCGCTTGGCTGCCAAACAGAAGATTGGTGGTTCAAACCTGCCAGTGGCTCTGCAAGAGAAAGATGTGGCAGGCTACTTCCCTAAAGATTTACAGCCTTGGAAACGTATGAGGCAGTTCCACTCTGTCCTATAAGGTCACTGTGAGTCAGAATCAACTCGACGGCAATGGGTTTTCGTTTGTTTCCTTTTGTTTTTTATTTTGCTATCATCTACTTTTACTTTGGTAAGGAGCCCTGGCGGCACAGAGGTTAAAGCACTCCGCAGTTAACAGAAAGGTCAGGAGTTGGAACGCACCAGCAGCTCTGCGGGAGAAAGACATGACAATCAGCTTCCCTAAAGATTTCCAGCCTTGGAAACCCAATGGAGCAGTTCTACTCTGACCTGTTGTTATGTGCCGTCGAGTCAGCCCCGACTCATATCAACCCCTCCTTGGGTTTCTGAGGCAGTATCACTACAGTAGATTGCCCAACTTTCCCTCCTAGGAGTGGCTGGTGGATTTGAACCGCCAGCCTTCTAGTAAGCAGTCAAGTGCCTTAGGCACTACGCTACCACATAAGTCGGAATTGACTACACAGCAACACTTCTACTTTAAGGAAGCATCAGAGGGGAGGTCTTTAGGAATAACACATTCAAGTTTAAGGTCAATCTACAGAGAGGCCTGTTTTTAGAGAAATTCAAATGAACTCCCACGGGCTCCACTTACTGATTTATCTCCCAGAGCAGTTTTGATACTAAGTCTCACTTTAAAAGCATTCTCTGCATCTGCCAGAAAGAAAAAAAAAAAGAAAGAGCAGTGGACAATCACAAAATCTGCTAAAGCATCATAATATTAATGTAACAACTCAACAGTACACACACCATTAAACAGGTTCAAATCCACCTGAAAGGTTAGTCCCAGTCACCTTAGAGGGTTAAAAATTGTCCTTCCAATCCCATAAAACAGTCCCAGGCTACATTTCAAGTCTTAACACGTCTGCAGCCTTAGAGATATAAAGAGTTATTTAAGTCAAAGGCATGTCAATCATTTAGAATGCTCTTCATTTATTTTTATGCTTCAAGGCAACATACCTGGTTGACAGAGTTCAGCATGAATAGCGGTCACCAGGAAAAACAGAGGCCACAACATTCTTTCAGAGTGGAAAACACAGGACAAACGGAGACAAAAATTCCAGCCTCCACCCAAAGCTGCCTTAGCCATTCTGTGACCAGATTAGAATATCAGAGAAGGCAGCCAGCCACCTCTAGGAGGTTTAATGATTAACCCCATCATCTGGGTTAATGCTTTGACTGAAGCAGCCCATCTCCTGTCAGTTATTTACACCAATCTGACCATCAGATTATTCCTTATCCTTTCCTAACTCTGCCTCAGAGGAAGGCTTCCTCTGCTGACTCCCAGGTTGGAACGGTTCCCTCCCCTTCGGTTGTGTGCTTCCCTGCCAGTAGAAAACCGGCAGTCCCCTCTAGAGCTTTCCTTCTGCTGAACTTTACATCTTTTCAGGCCTAAAATATCTGCCTCACAGATTGGCTATCACACTTTGGGAAGCAAACATCACTTCTTTCTGTCGCTGGTGAACAAAAGTGCCTGGCTCTCACCTCTGCAAGGAAACATTCCGGGAGCTCTTCCTCCTCCAAACAAGTGCATGGTTTTGTTCAGCCCTAAAGTCCGGTAAAACCAAAAAAACCAAACTCACTGCCATGGAGTAGATTCCAACTCATAATGACCCCAAACAAGGGCATGGTTTTGTTCAGCCCTAAAGTCTGGTAACTCACTGCCGTTGAGTCCATTCAACTCATAGTGACACCCTTTGGGTTTCCCAGGCAGTAAATCTTTATGGAAGTAGATTGCCCAGTCTTCTTTCCTCAGAGTGGCTGGTGGGTTTGAACCACCACCCTTCTGGTTAGCAGTCAAGTGCCTTAGGCACTGAGCCACCAGAGCTCTTACAAATCAGTTCATGATATAGAGCAATGTCATGCAATGGAACTTCCTGTGCTGTCCAACATGGTAGTCACTAGACCCACTGGCTATTGAGCACTTGAACTGTAGCTTGTGCTGAAAAAGTGAGTTTTTATTTTAATTTAATTAAAATAGCCACATGTGGCTAGTGGCTACATTGGTCAGTGCAAGTAAGA